CAACGTTGAAATGCTGACACCATGTTGCTATGCTAGTATTATTGATCAGCTGTCCTACCTTGTTAATATAAAACAAACCGTATGCCCCTATGATGCCTCTACGCTGAGATATTAAGCGGTGAAAATTTGGTATTTTCGCCGAAAACCGGCTCGAGATCAGTTTTACTGCGACTGTCTCTCGTTTTGTGGACTGTATGTTGCTTCCGGTCGCCGCTGTGTAGCGCTGACTCGATACGTTATTACTACAGCGTTACTACATCCAGCGTAAGGGGCGGGTACGTCATCACCATGGCGATAAATAACGTTTATCAATATCAATTATTATTTATCACGTTTATAATAAGACGTTTTTGTGGAGTAATGGCTGCGTCAATGACTGGAAATGCGAGAAAAGATAGTAGAATAAAAATAAATTTTATTGTCAATGAATGACGGAAACACGCGAGGTTTCCCGAAGCTATCGCCAAAACGAGAGACAGTCGCAGCCACTACGTATCTCGAGTTGGTTTTCGGCAAAAATACCAGATTATCACCGCTCATTATCTCAGTGTAGAGGCATCGTAGGGATAAGCGGTTTATTTTATATTAGCAAGGTAGGACAGCTGATCAGTAATACCACAAAGAATCGTCAAAATAAAACGGGCAAAGTTTATTAATTTGACTAATACTGCAGCATGGTTTCAGCATTTCACCGTTGTACGCTGTTCTTCTTAATACGCTCTTGATAGTATGTGGCATCCTAAAGAATATAGCTAATGTAAGTAAGTTTAAACACTATTTACAGTTAAATCATTATAAAATTTTGCTGCGTACACAATCCTGCAATTCAATACCGGATAGTGCTAATTTTGAAATGTTGTAAGGTTGTTTGTTTACAGAATTCGTGGCGCTGCTACTCAGACTCCCTCTCGCGGGCGATGACGTCCCGTAGCGCGTTTAATAATCGTAATCGTTCTTGATCATCCCGATATTAAACATGATTAATATCACCTTTATTTTACCTGTACGCAGACGCAAGCGCTATCGCTAACTGTCAGGAGGAGAGGAACAATGCGCTGGACCATCAGGCACGTGATCCAGAAGGCGGAGTGTTCGTGCCAATGTGTGCAGACGACGAAGACACGGCTCTGTTTCAGGAAGCGCAATGCCACGCGTCTACAGGGTAAGTAAAGTACCTGGATGTAAGTAAAGTATGCTGTAAGTCTCCCAGCATACACGCCCTGCTCGGCTCTACGCTCGCAGTCGCTCGTCTATTGGCGCGTCTCGTTCCATGCATGTGATTTCATAAGAAAAGACATAATATCTAGGTAGAATGGTATACATGATAACATGATAAACAATACAGAGATCTATAGTATGTCACTTCTAATATAATATATAGGTGTCTTCGTGCGTGTGCGCCCCTGCGCGTGTGCTTGTAGAAGAATTACTATAGGCGCCGCTGTCGGTGCTTCCACACGTGCGTGACTGCGCATGCACGAGTGCGGGTGCGAGTGCGTGCGTGAGTGGGCAAGAAGTATTTATGCACGCGCGCGTCCACTTGCTTTCGTTTATAATGTCGAAGTAGATACCATTTACGCTCTATTATTTGTTTCGTTATTATAGTTAGTAATGATTATCGCGCACGCCAACGGAGTCTATTTGTGTGGTTCGCATACAGAATTGTGCTTTACAGCGCCCGACGCGTACATTTTCGACCACATGAATGGACCCTATACGAAACTCACAAACCGATTCCGCTATATTCTTATGATAACCCGAGGAAGCACGTATGCCGCCGGCATCGCCTCGGCACACACGATGGGTTGTGCTAGTGCCACACACAGTCAATAAAACACATGCACAAGAGTCGATATAAAAACAAACAACATCGCGCTTTTTAAAAAAACGGGCATTAAAAACTCGATAAATTTTACAACATTGATAGTTGTCATTGCAAACAAGAAAAAAACTCGGAGTTAAATTTAGTGAGAAATTGGTGAGGGGCACGATCGTATTACGAGTGTAAAGTCAGATATGGGGTAAATTACGCGTAAGTCACGCTATTGCCAATGAAAAATTTGCTAGGATTTAGAATCGTAGGATTTGTAGAATCGTTTAGGATTTAGATATCAACTACATGACTATAGGACTAGTCTGAGGAATGATAACGTTTTGACTATCATTTCCTCTAGATTTCATGGCGGATAAGGTTAATGACTAGCTCAATATTTATCATGGCCGTAGCTATATCGGGGGAGTAAGCGGAACCTAGACCAAAGTAGATACTATTACATATTATATTATTATATGGTCAATAGTCAATATCGACCTGCTTACAGACAATCACCCAGAACGCAAACCGCGCACGGGTTTGCCACCACCTCCCCAGGTAAAATGAGCTAGCTACGCTGCTATCTAGAGTATGTAGAGATGATCCTGTGTAGAGATTAACCAAAGACTCACCTCTGCGTACCTGCATGTCTTGCTCAGGTATTGCTGGTGCGTGGACCCAAACACTGGTCGGCCGATCCCAGGGACATCTACACAGCATCAGACACCAGATTGCGAGGCGGTCAAGTTGGAAAAGGATGACAAAAATGTCGGCGGAAGGCTAGACTGGAAAGGTCGGTACATATACGACCCAGATCCACGCGGTTAAGCTGACCTTATGACAAAATGTATGGCATAAGTGACAGTCGTGCAACCACGGATATTCGAAGAAAATGCCGTCTGGTATGGGCTGCTTTTAATGTTGGTATTGCTGTTTGACAAAAACGATGTTTTACGCGTGGATGGATTTGCACACCATGACACGTTAAATATAATAAAAACATGTATAAAATGCACATTATTTACTATTGCCTTACTTAATATGAGCAGGATGCAAGAACGACAAAAAGAAGCGAAAATTCGTAGAAGAGCTCATTGGAGAGATCAAGAAATCGATGGCAGAGGAAAATAACAACAGCAGTACCAGGTAAATTATTTTTCTTGAGTACACATCTTTCGCACACTTATTTAAGCGCGTGTTTATATTCCCATCATTGCCTTTCCTCTCACCCCTTCGACCGTTGTTCCTCTGTCTGTTTCTCTCGCATCGTCTATGTATGTTTTTTCGTGCACGTGCGTATCTTCCTGTGCCATTAAACACCGGTGTCTCGCTTCCCACCATGAGCTTGATTTCTGCTTAGTCGTTTCGTCTCATACAATTCCTGCTATTTTGTGTTCACCTAAAGCTTCTGTTCGCCCTTTATGAACTGCGTTTACTTGTTCTCCCGTCTTCTACATCGACGTGTTAAGTAGTTTTGACTACAGCACTTCGGGTTCCCCGCAGACAGGCATATGGTACAGTAGCATTTACTCCTAGTAATTTCATCGGCTCATGTGCAACGTCTCTTGAGTCAAACTCACTAACAGATACGCTATTAGTCAGCCCTACATCTGGGCTTAATTTGGTAACAGCCACAGTAACTTAGGATCAACTCATCTCGATGCCCGCGTAGTAGCGCTACGTAACCGACATTGCTTTCTTTCGCCGATTAATTAAGATGCGGGAGATCGTTTGTTGCCATTTTGTTTCGGCGTTGCAAGTGAGAGCAGTTTGTCACTCGGTGCCGTCTCGGCTCAGGCTGCCGAAGATGTGCCCGCCTGTATCAGAGCGAATGTCTTTGTCGATTTCAAAGATAATTTCAGGAAAATATCACCGATATCCGTATTGGATCCGCGATATTTCAAAATTAGGGGAAACAGCGCAAACTGCGATATATATATATATATATATATATATATATAGATATATATATATATATAGTTCATAATACCGCCAAATGTTCTCGTATTTACACGCAGGCGTATGTGCGCGAAATAGAGGATATTAAAAATACCAATAAATGTCGGCAGCTGTTTCAAATTTGCCTGTGCTGAACTCGGTGGGCAACGAGAGCGAATCAAACGCCCACATGTTCTAGTATATATACTAACAGAGGCCGCGTGCAAACGGAAGCAGAAGCAAGCGGATGGCCGTCATACTAAGCATGTACGCCCACGCCGCCACCTGCCACCCCCGCTTAGCACATGCATACAGACTCTCCGTACATACTCAAACAAACTAATGCCACGTATTTCTTTTAAACAGCTTACAGAGGATCGAACCGAATCAGATTGACAGGGACTCGGCTATCAAATGGAAATTTATGAAGTTAGACACCAACGTCAACCACGTAAGCTGTTTAATAAACAATAGGTAAACGTGTGGAAATAGATAGAATGTGATGTATATATTGCTAGTTATACATTACATATAATTTGAGAAAAATATAGAAGGCCAAACATTACCACGAATATTTACTAGACTACTATCAAGAGAACACGCACATTCCACTTGTACGAAGCCATATAAATTTATAGGGCATTAACAAATTTCCAGGAAGTGAGGGCTACCGAGAAAAATACATCGCTGACGATTCATCGTTGAGATATGTGTCGGATATATTTTACAGATTTTAGAAAGAAAGGAATGGAAAATCTTTAAGAATGAAATTCGAGAGAACCGCAATTTGGGGAAATGTGGCCGCAACTTTCTGAGGTATTGCGATGGCAGCAAAGATAGGAGGATTTCATATGAAGAACTCAAAGGGTGCACAAGCGAGAGAGGTAAAAACGTGGCGCGATTGCAATCAAATTATAACATATATCGAGAGTGAGAGGGGCTGACGTTGAGGGAAAGAGAACGAGAGAGAGGGAGAGTGAGAGCAAGGGCGAGAGGGAGTGCGTATATATATATATATATATATATATACACACATCACACGCAGCGCACGCACGCACGCACGCACGCACGCACGCATCGCACTCCAGCGCACGGCACGCACGCACGCACACACACAACACACACACACACACACACACACACACACACACACACACACACACAGTCACACACACATAATATGCACATGCACTCACGCGCGCGCCCGCAGGTACCTGCGCACACGCACACACACGCACGCGCGAGCGCACAGATATGTTAGAACCGCACGAATGCCCATTTAAACGACAGTTGTATTTTGAAATCGCAACTTTCTGCATGTTACTCATAAATGATTCTATTGTATTTCCAGAACTAAGACGGAGGAAAAATGGCAAGAGACGAAGAGGGCCAAATCCTTTTCATAAATATCTCCACAGCAAATAAGCGACCACGAAATGGTCACATAATCTCTGTAAATACGTCACATGGTGTTTGTAAATTTTTTTAAAGCTTTGCACAGCATTTTATGAAAAATGGCATCCGTCAAATACAACTGCCAACAGATAAACATGTATTTACCAAGGTGAAAAAAACGGGAAATTCCCCCCCCCCGTTTTTTATGACAATTTATGGAGACTTTCAGCAACATTTCTAAATTCTGCGCGTACGGTATGTTCCAGATTCTCGTTCGACCGCCCTGGGCCATAAAATTCGGACATAATCTTGTTACGTAGTCTCTGTACCTACAGCATTCGCGTTGTCTAGGTGTCGTGTAATCTAGTTGTCTGAATTCTGTGTGATAGAACTGTTTGTAAAAACTTGAACTTGCAAAACTTGCAGCGAAAAACGTCGAAAATGAAATACTACCCTAACTGCTAAAAAAATGCTATCGTGAGTTTCACCGACTGAAATGCAACGTGAATTGCAATTTACATGCATTGCATGAGCTACATGTGTCTCGAACCCAAGTATGAAAGGTGCTAATGATACACTTGTCCAAACTTGTGCTTTCTATATATAATCAGGCTCATATAGTTCCAGCGAATTAGTGCAAATTATTTTACACCTTTGCTTATTGCCAACCTCTTATTCCACTAGCACTATGCATGTTAAAAAATGAGAGTGGGTGGTACCTAAGAAATCCTAATATTTTAGCATGAAATCAGTTGTATATAAAATCTGTCTGATATCTAAATATACCAAAATTCAACTTAATATATTTTCTGGCAATTCACAACTTTGCATCCAATGTCTTTAAACTCAAAATACACAAAACAATGATTTATGTGCCTGTATGCATGAGCCTTTATATGCTAAAATGAAGTTGCTGTCAACCTGTTATTGTTTATATATAATATATATCTTAGGTATGAGTGTAAAATAAAGCTATTAAATGTACTAGTACATATCTAAAATAACAATGACTTTGTAATATTAAAATACAATTTATGTTCAATCATAACAAAAATAGCACCTAACATGCATTACATGTTGTATAAACAGCTTCGTACCACGAACATGACCACAAACAACATGGCTAACATACAAACGAAACTGACAAGTACATCGTATGCTGTTTTATCATTAAAACGGATTCGCTCCTATTTACACACTATTCATTCGTGAACACTCTATTATAAAATACCTAAACACACGCGAGGGAATCATAGCTAGAACTGAACCCCCCCCCCAGAATAGGTTAATAATCTTGTGATCACGGATACCCAGACTGGACTCCACCAACCACTAAACGTGAACGATACGATATACCAACGCCATCAGACGCGCATAGTCAGCTGAATGGCAAGAAAATGTTCACGGTAGTAGTAATAAAAGATGGCTACTAACATGTGACTGTCTGAAGGGTCATCTTATCTTTGCACATTCCTTACGACCTGGGGAATAAAGCAATGCCTTCACATGCCTTTTACCATCGACTCAGCGAGTATTATGATAATATTTATATATATTTATATTAATATATGATATTTAATATAATAAAAGTGAAATGAAGAAACACAGGATGAAGCCGAATTCAGAGCGTATCAGTCGGTGCTGACAAACTTGCAGAATTCAAGTCAGCCACACTAGATGACATGCCATTACAGATGGCAAGGCGCACCATTAAACAATGATGGTAGAAGAACAGGCCACCGGCCACAGGACAGATGTACAGTAATACTGAATACTGGAAGCTTCGTGATGGGCTGCATGAGACCGAAGAACTTATATTCATGGGAACCAAGCTACTAGTGTCCAGCATGCTATAAGGCAGAACATGCTAACGCTTAATCAAGATAGTTACCTGGGCGCTGACAAGTGCAAGTTGCGTGTGAAAGTAATCTTGTTCTGGCCTGGTGTGAACACGAATATACGGGCTACTGGGGCAGGTGCTGTACCTACATCAATTTGAGAGAAAGGGACAGAAACGAGCCGCTGCTACCGCAAAGGTTAGGATTCAGGAGACCCTACACTACTACGTTGTGGTGGTTGATTGCTTTTCCATCTTGAGCTTGCAATGCTAGACAGCAAGACGGTAAGGTGTGTGACCACCCACCTCAAGGCGATATTTGCACGAAATGGCTTACATGAAGAAATGGTGAGCTACAATATTCCCTACGCCAGCCAAGTGTCAAAACAAGTCGACAAATACCCAAGAAATAACAGGCTTCTGATGAAAACCTGCAAGAATCTAACAGTGATAGCTCCAATACCTGATGATCTCCCTGAGGCAAACCCGCAACAACGAGGAGAGAGAACAGCACGTAAGAAACAGATGCAATTAAACCCCACCTCAGTGTCAGCACATCAAATGCAGAGGGAGAGGACCGTAGCTAAAAATGACTACATGTAGGGAATTGCCAAAGTGAATACAGATGGCACCACTGGTCTCATGTTCGTCCAGTATCAATGGTTAAATGTGATTGTATACAAATCTGAATAGAAATCGTGAAGTACTCCTATTATTGTTAACATCAATATCTTACAATAGACATACTGCATAATTATAGCAGCTCGTTCCCAGTTATCAAACTGACATTCTACACAAACACAACACTAGCTACACAAATACAAACATATCTTGCAATGTGCAACTGCTAACCCACACTGCTGCAACTGTGAATTTTGATAACCAGTCTGTTACGAGCACAAGGTTCTGGTTTCAAACATTTCGCTTACATGCTATTAACCACTGAGCAGTGGTTAGTCACTTCATACAAATGGAATTGGTCATCCTAGGCATTAACCAAGGTTGTTGCATTTTGTTCAAATTTTCTCATCATATCTATCACAGGTTTGTACACCAACTCGACAGCATCGATTCCCCATATGAAATCCAAATGAGCCCATGGCTCAATAACTTTTTCATAAATAATATTCTTGATCTTCGTCTTGAGCCAGGACACATCTCTTGGATCAGCCAACCAATCGCAACCTCCACTGAACAGCGCAACAGGTGTCTCCATCTGTGAGACACTGTACTCAGGAGGATGAAACTAGAAAGTTAAAATTCAATTTCATTCGATTACATACCAAAATAAAAGAAACACAATCAATAAAATGTGCATCAAGAATTTACAGGTCACATTAACTACTATTTATTATACGCATTACACTAAATTAACAGTTAAAGTAATTATTAGTAATAACAAAATTCCGATAGAAAAAGGCGATTGAAAAATCAAATCTGCTTGCAAAACGCTGCTGCAGTTATTTCTTAATTTTAATCAGCGCATACCTGACCATATTTTCGCAGGTTGCCAATGTATCCGTAATCATACATTCGACATTTCTTTGACTTGACCATCTGAACGAAGTGCATAATGTTCTTCGTAGATGTTGCAGAGGGCGTCTTGGATATGTATACTGGAAGGCGTGTCTAAAAATATTTGAACATAAAAGTAGGCCCCCTATATATTTTTCATTTTATATCAATGAAGCTACCTGTAAAATTCATTTAAATATTTCAAGCAACGAAAAAAAGCAGGAACGCTACTGATACATTAAATATGACCTTAAATACATTGCACTTTGATCTGGCATTTTTGCTAGCTCTGTTAGTAAGCATTGCTAGTGCAACCTCACACATTCAAGCCCACGTCAAGCATCATACAGCAAACGTGAGCACCATTACATCTTACCATGTTTAGCTGCTTCTCATCAAATCCTCCAATGAGGAATATAATGTCAGAGCAGATGTAGTTTAGCGGTTGACTCCGACAAAGCGTACGTCCGAGAAACTTCAACAGTGGTTCTGCAGCATGCAGAAAACTATCATCTCCTGCAAGCTTTAGTAAAATCTGAAATGGATAAATGACGCCACATTTCAACTTTCACATTCATATGTTCATTGACACTTAGGGCTTCTATGAGTAAACGAGATATCTATATATCTATATATAAAGATTGTAAAACTAAACCACAGCATTATACTTACATCCAACTCTGTGGCAAAAGGTACAAGCCACCGCATGAGTCCCTTCGTATACCCTACTGTGAAGACAGGACCCAGTGCTGTGAACAGTTTTACCTAAAACAAACGAAAGCCATTGTAGTATTCTGCTATCAGAAGATGACTGCTCTAATTGTTATGTTCAAACAGTTGCATTGTGGGATCAGGGCTCTGAGAATAAATGGCTGACCAGCGAGCAGTTATTACAGCCATGAAGAAGACATAGTTACTTTAAAAGACTTAACAGTTCAGCTAGAATACAAGGCATGTATGCTTAGTCAGATCATGTAATCTACATCACATGGATCCACTGCTCTTACGCGTTTGTTTGGGTTGATCACTGATCCAAATCACATTATTATTATTCCTGACCTTGGTGGCGAGGTGGATTTGAAGGACATCCAATATGGCTACCTGCAATGATCTGTGATAGGTCGCAATGACAGGTGATCCATTGGAGGCGAGTTTGCATTTGTTTGGACAGATCAAGATCAAGTGATCCTGATCAGACATATTCATCCCAAACAAACAGGCCCACAAACTTCCAACTGTAGATTTCTCCAAAATTAGCATGCTTGTTGGACGAACATGGATCTGGTCTATCAACAATACACTACCAGGATAACAAGCAATAGACATATACAACTTCCCACAATTACCCACTGCTGAGAGTGTAGAGGTAATATACTAATATCAGGAGTAAGATAATATAGGAATATAATATATATATATATATATGTATATATATATATATATATATATATATATATATAGTTCATAATACCGCCAAATGTTCTCGTATTTACACGCAGGCG